TGGATGTATAGATAGATGTATAAATGGTTAGATGGTTAGATGGATGGATGTATAGATAGATGTATAAATGGTTAGATGGTTAGATGGATGGATGTATAGATAGATGTATAAATGGTTAGATGGTTAGATGGATGGATGTATAAATGGTTGGATGGTTAGATGGATGGATGTATAAATGGTTGGATGTATAGATGGATGTATAGATGCTCACCCAGCGGATCCATGTGGTGATGGTTCTGCCGAGCCAGTCGTTGATGTTGAAGGTCAGGAAGCAGCACACACAGATAAAGTAACGGTCTGATGAAGAGGAGAACAGATCTGGGTTAACAGAGTCACAGAGAACATGTCCAGAATCAGAGCTGAAGCTCACTCGTACCCCATCCTCCTGGGAACGATGTTTTGACGTCTACAGTGACGGCGGGGAACACGGACAGAGTYACCGTGAACACAAACGTCACACAGAACGCCATGACCCAGATCTGAGAGTCAAACAGAAGAAAACACGTTTAAAACTTTTACACAACATATCCAATCAACTCTGAGTTTATAAACTCACTTTATTGATAACTCAAGAGTTTATTGCAGTAATATGCCAGGCAGGGCTAAAAGATAAAATGTGTATTTATTGAAGAAAAMAAAGGGGCAAAAAACATTTTTTTGTTTTTATCTTATCTGAAAATGTGAGGATGAATAAAGGACATGATGACATCACAGCTCAGCTCAGATCTTTAACTCCTCTTTTTAATTATGTGATTTCTTTTTTGTATTTACACTACAGGTCAAAAGACTCAGAAKACTTATCTTTGCAGCTTTTTTATTTTATTTTATTTAAGCTCACTGGTCATTTTGAAAGGGTGCAGAAGTGCCAGAGGTTTAAGAAAAATGCAAGTTTACCCAAAACTTGCACTTTGTAAGGCTGTAAGAGGTTCCTTAAAACCTGCGTATAAAATGTGTGTCTTAAATATTTATGTTGAAGACTTTGATATCTCAAACAACTTGAGATCCCCGCTTAATATTTGATTTTTGGAAGCTAAATGATGTATTGCATCCTCATGGAAGAGACAGACAACATGTGGCATTTCACAGTGGCTTAAACAAGTGTCCTTTTACTTTGCCCTTGAGAAAATAAGTAAGCTAAGACAAACTGATTATGTTGATTCGTCTGTTTGTGGGTCTGCTGRGTTCTTTTTTCATCCTCCCCTGTATTTCTGTATGTTTTGCTTTGTCCAAGGTTATGGTTATGTATTTGTAAATTTTTCTTGTTATAAATCAAAAATTTATTAATATTATGTTTTAAAAAAAAGTTGACCCAGAACTGAAAGTCAAAGAGTCTGAGTAAAGTTTCCTTCACCGTCACAAAAACTGATGCAAACTGACAGGAAGTAAAATTTCTTCAAATGTTAAGGCCCTGCCACACTAACGTTTTAGACGACTTGTGAAAAAACAAAGACTAATAAAGGTTAAATATTTGACCAATGTGTTAGCGTTACATGTACACACATGAAAGAGGCTTCCAGTTGATTATTTTCTTTTAATTTTCAACGTAGATGTCTCTAAACTTTTCATAAGTTGTCTAAAACATCAGTGTGACAGGGCTGTTACTGGAGCTCACAAAGAATCTATGTTACCCTACATGCCTCTGGAAAAATAACTGATCTGTAGGAGTTTTATTCTAATGAATGAAAACTAGGGGTGTCCCGATAACGATACTGGTATCGGTAACGATACCAGCATCAAGTACTCGTATTCGTAAAAGCCGGCCGATACTCTTAACCGATACCACTTTTGTCCCCTCCTGTGCTGCGCTGCACAAAGGGTAAACAACAGGCGGGGGCGCTAATCCAC